GGGTTGACGGGACGGGCGAAGGGATGGAGGCATTGGATTCGGCCCGCTCACGCTGTCTGTGGTGGATTAGGTTAACGGAGGGACGTGATGGCCACCCCGGGCCGGTCCTCTCGTGGTGCCGTACGTGTCGGTCCAACTCCATCCACCACGCACCGCCCACGCGACGACGAGAGAACGAAGCCAACACAACACGGCGGCGCGCGAGGCCACACACACCCACTGCAGAAGAGTCGTCGTCAACCTTTTAAGGGGTCAACTCGCTTTAGATTCGTGCAACGATAGCACAGTGGACGTCGGGAAGTTCACGTTCTTTACGGCTACGATTGACCGTCCTTCCTATAATTCTTAATTAAAAAGTATATTTACTTTTTAGAAAATTTTAGGAGGAATTAAAAAAATACGAATAGATTATTTTATTTATAAATTATCTATTTTAGAGTTGATGAGGGCAATAATAGCAACAGGACGTGGGTTAATGTCAGTTGCGCCCGGATGACGCCTCGCGCCTCGGTTGACCTGACACCGCCTGGCCAAAACAGATCGGAACGTCGATCGAGGCGCATTAACATCCTGTGCGAGCCCGGTCCTTCACGTCACGCCAACACCGGTGTCAGACGTTACCAGAAGTACGATCCTACTCCTTGCAAGCGGGCACATCAGGCAACGGTAACCTTCCCTATAAAAACCCTTGCGCTCGGAAAGAGGGAGAGGAAGGAGGAAAACAAAGACAAAAACTCCTTGTGACTATCAACTGATTTGATCGTCGGAGAGGTCGGGTCAAGCCTCCCGACCCGACCTATGTGCAGGGATGAAGACGGAGCGCCTCCTACCGCGTGCCCAGGTGAGGAGTTCCCTTCCAGAGGAAACGACCGTCTCGTCGCGATCAGACCACCACAGTCGGTCACCTCAATAGTCTCAAGGGTCGCTCAGGAAGATCCCCAATCATTCGAACCCGAACCCAACCGTATTGGCCCCGAGGCCACGGTTTAAGGTTGTTGACACCAACAAGAGTCTTAGTAACGATAGAAGAAAAAAAATTATTCTAAAATTTTAGAATTTATGAAATGACAATATGAAAAAGATGAAGGGTTTCGTTAGATCACTAATAATCAACATAAAATTATATCGGATCTCATGAACATAAATTTTAATTAATTTTTTTTATTTTAAATATAATAAGTTTAAATAAATAAAAATAATTAATGTTAGTGATAAAAAGAAAAGTTAGATGCAAAAAATAAATAAAAATTAAAAAAATAAGAATTTAAATATTTTAAATTTAATTAAATATATAATTGTTTATATATGTGACGATAAAAGATCAATGTAATTGTAAATGATCCCAAATAGTTAAAGTTACATTTAATTTAAGAGTCAAACTTGGATGCTTTACTATGGATAATAATTATATTTTTTATGATTCCGATCCTAAAACAAACTCTATAAAAACTTTCTAAATGATTTTTCATGACCGTTCGGCTCACTTTTTGCTCTATCATTTTTGTCGTCCACAATTGATCACATCAACTCCTGAGATTAGAAGATTACAGGAGGAGGTGGAATATGTATTCCATTCATTTTAATCAAGAAAAAAAAAGGATTTTTTTTTAAAAATTCACTACTGGGATTAAAAAAAGAATGAAATAAATAGTTTTGATAGAATATTTTACAACTTACCTAATAATTATAATATGGTCTTTTTTTTTACATCATCTTTTCAATATGACGGAATTTATTGGACATTAGTGAAATAATTTTAGAAAATATTTTGTTATTAAATCAGTAATTACAAAACTATTTTTTTATATAAAATATGTCTTAACTCCAAACTCACTAAATGAATATTAAATTTCTTACATGTTTGTTAATAAAAACACGTGTAACATCTCGATTAAATAAGATTAACTTATAAAGAAATAATGAGTGAGTGTACTATTATAAATTTTAATCTAGATATTTTGATAAATAATTTAGACTAAATAAAGTTAATAGATCAATTATCTCAGAAAAGGGCTCGAATACAAAATAATTATTCATAGATTAAGATTAGTAGAAATAGATAAACATAAAATTAACTCATAAGGATCTCATGAGTATTAATCATAAATTTTAGTTTTGATGCAGTCTACCTTTCGCCTAAGTGAAATTTTCCTACTATTAATCTCCGAAGAAAAAAAAGAAAAAATGACAAAGCACACTTGGCAATTTATCGAACACATGGAATGCTCAAAGTTCTCTTTTCTTACAATAAGAAATAAAAGGAAACATGACACTTGAAAGGTTAATTCGAGGGGTAAATATTCTCCATGAAATCAAACAATCGAAAGGTGTCAAAAAGAGATTCTTTGTCCATCACACAACAGCTAAAGGTTTTCTTTTTCTTATTAGAAAAGAGAAAGAAATATTTGATTATTCTGACTAAAAGGTGAAGAATCAGTGCAAATAGTCACATCAATGGGAATGTATAAATCATCACTGTATGTTTGCCAAGATTTCTTCATCTTATATAGTGGTGGAATTCAAAGATACCAGTAGGCTTCATTATTTATAGATCAGAGAGCGGCATTAAAATAATATTTTTTCATTATCATTTTCTCTCTTATATACAAAATCATAAGTCAGTCATATAAGAACAATATGTTAACCTAATTTTACTAAGATGAATTTTGATTTAATATTTCAATATGTAACATGAATTTTATCTTAATACAGAGATGAAAAACAGTTTGTTTCTTTAGTTCTCTACCATTCATTTCTACAATACTACAACAAGAAGCATAGTCTCTTCTAATTATAAAATTACTATACCTTAAACATTGATTTAATGATAATGTACCAAATATATTTTGAAGGTTGACTAAGAAAGACTTTGATAGAAATTTTACCTTCACTACTTACCTTTGTAATAAAAAATAAAAAATAAAAAAGATGATTATTGGACAGTTTTAGGTTTTATATAGAAGGGGGCAGTGATTCAAACACAAATTAAACTAATGATCTCTTCATCAAAGTCTAAGTACTTGTTATGTTTGACACATGAAATAGGTCAGTCTTAGAGGGACAGGAATGCCAATTTCTTAGTATCTTAATTAACATAAATGGATCAAAATTGCAAGTACATTTATGTCATTTGATACACATGAAATATGAATAATGTCTTGAAGTTGATTAGGGTTGCTTATAACCATTTGGTTTGTGAAACCACAGTTTATCCACTTAAATTTAATAGGTTCAAAGTTCTTTTTTGTTTTTTGTTGGATTTTGAGCCTATCATATGTTTGCTATTGTCTAACAAAAGGGAAAAAAATAATGAACATGATTCATTTGTTTTCATTATCATGCAAATATCGTATAGGTGTTTTAAATGCATTGCATAATAAGTTTTTGCACACAAAAAAGAGAAGAATGAATGAAAGTAAATTTCATAGTTCTTAGAGACTCAACAAATCATTTCTCCACCAACTTAATGTTAGAGCTTTGAGTTCAAAGCTTTTAGTTAATGTTAGAGCTTATATTTAGTGTTGTTTTCTAGTAGAATATAGCTTTAGGGATGCTAACTTGTTGGTCACTTGCATTTGTATTTGTGCTCGATTGAATTCTTTATTCCTTCAACTCCTAATCAGTAATATTCCCACCTCTATATATATATAATAAGAGAACTTTTACGTGGAGCTATCATTCCATCATCTCCTAGAGAGGTTGCTAACACATATTATACCAAGATCACTAATACAGCTATATGGCATATTTTGGAGTGACCATTTACCACTAAGCTTTTGAGGAAAAGGCAGTCAACGAACATGTCTTCTATGATTTAGGAGATACAGGTGAAGATCATGGCTTGTTCGAGTGTAAGTTCGCATTGTGTTGCTTGAGAGCTCGAGTAAGAAGAGGAAGAAAGAGTGGAGGAGTCGTGTGTGGATCGATCGGCTCCTGAACAAAAGTCGACATGATCGTCCTCAAACCCCAAAAGCACATAAACTACTTGAGAAACGCTATCATCACAATCATCTCTCACACACACACTTCGCTACTGAAGTCATCCAGTGTTGATGGAAAGGAAGGCAAACATGTGGGATCCAGCAGTCATCTGATGTTCCTCCTCCTCCTCCTCCTCCTCCTCCCTCCTCCTCCTCCTCCTCCTCCTCCCTTTCCGAAGAGAAGGCAAGGCTAGCTGTTGCTGCATGAGATGGAACTTGGAAGCAAAGCCAGTCATGCCTCTGCCACAGGTTTGCTTGCAGAAGAGGCTTCTTTTGAACCCGGCTAGCTGACACATGAAACAAGCAATGAATCCACTCTACCGCCCGCAGTGATCTCGCCAAAAGGAAAAGAGAGAGAGAGAGAGAAGGAAGGGTTGTGCATGATTTCGGTTCAAGGCTTTTGCTTTCGTCGTAGATATGTTCAGAAGGGCAAAGTACAACCTTCTACCGCTTAAGAAGAAAGTAGGTTTTGTTTTGTCTTCCTCTCCGCTTTGATGGTTTGCTGCTTTTAAGGCACTCCTCCCACCTTTCTTCCCCGAGGTTAAAGCCTATCCCCCAAGCCATTCAAGTCAAAAAGTACGCACTTGCTCTCTCTCTCTCTCTCTCTCGTCTCTGCCAACGATGCCTCAGCGATGCGTACCGCTCGGCGCAGAAGCAAGAAGACGCAGGGAAGAATGCAGCGAGAGAGACGAAAAAGGCGAGGGAGAGGAGATCGAGCAAGCAGCAGATCGCGTGCGTATCTCCCCTGGTGCACTCCGGCTCTCCGACCCCACTCGGAAGAAGAAACCCTAGCCATTCAACTCTCTCTCTCTCTCCTTCTCTCTCTCTTTTTCCCTTTTATTATAACCCCAAAGATTAAAGAAAGATAACACAAGAAGAGCACCACAACATTGTCCCCTAAAACACCTACAGAAAGGTGGCAAGGCGATCTTACTCGCATCCACGCATGCAACCGGCTCTATCGCATGAGAATTCTCTCTGGTGCGGAGCCATCACCAACTCAAGGAGGGAACCATATGCTGAACCAAAAGGACAGTACAGATTTAATACAAGAGAAGCAGGATGACAACTACAGATACATAAATTCGACCTGAGAACTAAGTTTCAATATTGTTTACCGCAATGCCGTAACTATGACACCCGACCAAAGAAAGCTAAGAGAGCATCAAATCTTGTCTAAAGACTATTAAGATCATGACCAGAGAGAGAGAAAGAGAAAGAGAGAGAGAGGAGTCTTGGAGTAGGGAAAACAAAGAGGGGTGGAATGGAGGGAAGCTTCAGTATGGCGGCGGGGGTGGGGGGCGGGCGGTGGGAGCCCAAATGACGTCCGATGGGAGGTGGCTGCTGTAGAGAGACATGCCGCTCGACACTGCAGCCGTTGGCGACGGCCCTTGGTGGCGCCGCTGGCTATGATCATGCTGCTGCTGCTGCCGCTGAGGTTGTTGTTGGGTGTACATGTGCTGCTCGTGCTCCTCCATGTCGCCACCGCCTCCGCCGGAGACCGAGACGGAGACCGATACGTCGTCCTCCACCGGGAGCCGGTGGAAGGTGGGGTTCGAGAACGCCGCCGCCACCACGACTACCATCCCCGCGGCCACCAGTGGCCCTGCCACCGTGCCCCCCACGATCTGTCCCTGCGGCCCCGCCAGCGATATCGAGAGCCCGCCGGCCGCGGCGGGGCACAGCGCCTCCATCGCCGGGGGCAGGAACGTGGCCGAGATGGACAGGATCTCGAACCGCCCTCGAAACACGATCGTGGCCGGAGCCCCCGCCGACAGCGGCGCCCCTCCGAGGTGCGGCTGGCGGAGCGTGACGTTCGCGACGGCGCCGGTGCCAGAAAGAACGCAGATTCCGAGGTTCCGGCGGCGGGAGAACCCCGCGAGGGAGTCGACCACGTCGTGCCCCGCGGGGATCTCCAGCACGTGCGGCCGCATCGCCGCCGAGGGCTCCGCTTCCCTGGTGATCACCACCGGCAGCTTCGGCTTATTCTTGGACCCCGGCGGCCGCCCCCGCGGTCTCTTGACCACCTCGATTGTCGATCCATCTCCCCTTGTTTGCTCCTTCTGCTCATCGAGCTTTGGCTTCTTGCTCTCCCCGCTGCTCCTGCCGCTGTCGACTTCATCAGACAGGCTCTTCTGCTGCTGCGGCTGCCGTTGCTGCTGCTGCTGCTGCTGCTGCTGCTGAAGATAATGGTGCTGGAAGAGCTTGTCCTTCATGTTGCCGGTGAGAAACCTAAGAACATAAAACAGTTCAAAGAAACTGTAGCGGAAGACTTCAGAGGGCCTCTTTTTTTTTATGTAGAACAGTATACGGATGGAGAAGAAAAAGGAGGAAATGGTAGTGAGGGGATGTTTGTTTGCGGTTGCACTTTGAGAGCAATTAGAGAGAGAGAGAGAGAGAGAGAGAGAGAGAGAGGT